GCGAAACATCTGGGAATGTATCACGTCTACGTGAAGCCGATCCTTTGACCAAACGTCTGCTAAAGAATTGTGGTATCTTCCCTGAATTAGTCACTCAGACGCAAAGTGTAGGAAATAACGCCTCGAGTAGCACAGATGGGGTGGCAGATTTCGAGTGAAATGCTTGTACCAGGGCGATAGGAGACGGATTATACGGGCCAAAGGAGACTGTGATAAGACCTAGGGAAGGAGGACTGCGTAACAATATGGCAGACTCTGATCAACATTCCCAGCAAAAGAGTGAAGGGGGGTGAGGACGCCAGCGTGGAGCGCGAAGGGTTCTCATGAAAGCCGCTCATAAGGTCACATCACACTAGATTTAAATAAGCAAGGGAAAATGGTAACAGTGAAGGTGTGATAGGAGGATAGAGGAAAAGTGAATAGCCCAGAGAAGAAGGGGAGATAACACAACTGTTTCGCACACGTTTGGTCAAAGGATAGGCTTCAAAACCCAGCTTTTCTTCATATATCTGAAGCTCTCAATCATCCTTATACGTTCATTTATCCCACTCAGAATATTAGCTAGTTTGTTTATTTCTATAGACTTTCTAATCTTGCATAGATATGCAGACTAAGATGGTGTGGTTGCAAAGTTTACATAAGTGGCCTCGTTTTTACAATATTATTAGGTTGTCAAGGCGACCTAAATGGACGCACCTTATTCTAAGTCCTCTATAGTAGGTATGATAATCTCCATAATCTGATTTATTATTAGTGTTTTCCATATATACTATAAACCATTTTTCTTAATTCGTGCGAAATATTTAATATTTACTGAAATTCCTTATTTATTTTTAAATATATATTATTTGACAGCTCGAACAGCTCATGATGCTTTGAAACTTGGCTTCCGCGTGGTTCTAGTTGAAGACGCTTGTGCAGGCATTAACTCAGAAGATATCCAACGAGAAAAAAACGATCTGACGGCCTTAGGAGCTTATTGGGCCAAATCCGATGAGGTGAGCCCTTAATATTCCTAATTTTACCTCCATTATCTCTGGCACGGGTAATTGCAAGAACTTAGAGACCTAAGCTAACATTACAAAGAGATTATTATTGTCTCATGTCTCTCATTATTCCAATTTATTTGAAATTCATAATTCGATATAGTTCAGTCACTATGTCCGATTCCCATCTTTGAGAAACTAAGCTTTAAGAAAAGGACGGGTAACATTCTGGTTGGCAAAATTAATTCCGATTTAAGTGAGAAGTTAAAAACTACCATTGTTTATTAAAGATGTAAAGACCAAGATGTTGTGGCCTTGTGTATGGTCGCAGTCTTCTTTCGACTTATAGAAGTGGGTGGACCTCGTTGTCGCAACTTGGTCATGTGCTCAGTGAGACTATGTAGAATAAACCGAGTCCGAAGTCGTCTGCCATAGTAGTTGTCTTAATTCCCAGCATCTGACAGTGGACTTGATACATT